TCTCTCTCTCTCTCTCTCTCTCTCTCTCTCTCTCTCTCTCTCTCCAAAGTCTGGGCTACATGCCCTCTTCCCTCTGATGAGCCGTTCTCAGGGCGCAGACGGCGAAAAGCGCTTCAGGGGCGCGCCTCCCTCCCCTCCTGATGACTTCATATCATCGGATGTTGAGGTTCCTCCTACTCTTCCTCTCTTCTCCCATTCCCAACCCTCTTCCCACCCCCCTCCCTAATGATATTTCCTCTCTTAAACTCCTCCCATGACTCTTTCCCATCATCGATTGCAAATTGGATTGCGGAATCCGGGGTGATACTGTATGGTTGCATATATCTGTGCGCTCTCTGGTGAAAATGCAGTGTGTAGTTCCCGCCTATGCGGGTTGTCTTTTTGCTATTGCAAATTGTTGCTTTTTCACACACACACACACACACACACACACACACACACACACACACACACACACACACAGAGAGAGAGAGAGAGGGAGGTCGATAAGGCGGGAAAAACAGTAGAAAAGTGGGGAGGTACCAGGCTGAAACAGCAGAAGAATCGAGGAGCAACACAGAGATAGCAGGGAGGTACCCGGCGCGTTGTCAAAAAGACTTGCGCCTCATTGAGAAGGGAGAAAATTGCGAGTGACCCAGGGGTCCTACACCCCTTTTCGCTGGCCGAAAAACCCTTGATTGCCCTCAGGAAGGCATGCTTGGGAAATCCTTTGAGCCTGAGCTCGTGCCTCAAAACGAGAAGGGCGTTTTTTTTGGGTAGATTTTTTTGCAATATCAAGAGGACATGCTTGCATTGGCCTGGTGTGGACATGGGGGATGAATTCTGCTGCACCTCTCCACCTTGTCACCAAACCCGGCGACACTTTTCATCAATATGCATCATGGACAGGAGTGTGGTAAGAAAATATGCAAGAACAAAAACTGGTCAGGGCAGTTGTAGGAGGTGCTGCAACATCAGAAAAAAAAAAAAAAAAAAAAAAGAGAGCCAACCGATGTAGCAGTCGTTTATGAACTCATACGGCGATACAATGGCCCCCATGTTCTATTCATTCAGAGAAGGAAACATGGAGCTGTAGTATTTGGGCCCTGATCTGTTGGGCCCACTGGTCAGACTGAGTGTGGAACCAGCTGCGCAACCTGCTTGCATTCCCAGCAGTTACTGCTCTCTGCAGGCCTTGCCTGCCTTGCCTGCAAGCGCCCATTCCTAGCTGGCTTATATATTATTGCATGCGCATTTCCATCCGTTGATTCGTTCAGTGCTTTTTGTTGCTCGAGTTTGTGCTTCTCGATCGCTACTTGTGCATAGTGTGCACTCCATGATCAGCTCTCGTGGTTTCTTTTTCTTTTTTCCTTTTTTTTTATCAGCGTAAATTACTTAGCAGGACAGCGTGTAATGTCAATTCATTGTTTGACGAGTACTGGGTCACATTGACAGAAGAAAGAGGGAGGAAAAGGATGAGGAGGACAGGAGGATAACGAACTTGAGGAGAAACGAGAGAGAGAGAGAGAGAGAGAGAGAGAGAGAGAGAGAGAGAGAGAGAGAGAGAGAGAGAGGAGGACAAGTGTGAGCTGAAGGAGTCACACACACACACA